ACTGGTAAACTGGACTTCGTGATTATTTAAAACTTCTTTTCTTCAAACATTGTTAGATAAAATAATAATACATAAAAGAAATTGATAAATTGATAAATTTGGACTTTATGATAATTTAAAATTTCTGTTCCTCACTAGACATGGTGGCACATACCTGCCATTCCAGCTGTCAAGAGGCTGAGGCAGCCCAAGTTTGAGGCTAGCTTTAGCAACTTAGCAGGACCCTATCTCAAAATAAAAGATAAAAAGATCTGGGGATGTAGCTCAGTGATAAGAGTATCCCTTGATTTAATGCTTATAGCCAGCAAAACAATATCAACAACAAAAATACAAACAAACAAACAAACAAAAACACACCAAATGACAACAGAAAAACTTCTGTTCCTTAAAAGACATTTGTTAGTTGAAAAAATAAGTTACTAGCTAGGAGAAAATAGTTACAAAACATGAATCTGATAAAGGACACATAATCTGAATAAAGAACTCTCAAAACTCAATAAGAAAACAATCCAATTAAAATAGGCAAAATATTTGAAAGTACATTTCATCAAAGAAGATATATTTACAACAAAGAACTACTTGAAATATGCTTATCATCATTAATCACTGGACACATCAAATGAAACCACAATGAAATGTCCTTCAACATGTATTAGAATGGCTAAAAGTTTAAGACTGATCCACGGATTAAATCTTTATTGATAAGGATTTAAAGCAACTAGAACTCTAATATACTCCAGGTAGGAATGTAAAATGAAAACAGTTTAGCAGTTTCTTAAAATGTTTAATATACACCTACCATACAATTCAGCCATACTTCTCCCATGAGATAGGAAAGCTGATGTCCAAACAAAACCTTTTATATGGATGTTCTCAGAAGCTTTATTCATAATGGTCAAACAATATAAATAGAAGTCAAATATCCACAAACAGGTGAATAGATAAACAAATTGTGATATTCCATAAAATGGCACATTCAGCAATAAAAGGAAATAAATTAATAATATATGTAATAACCTCAGAGAATCTTAAAACAATTATGATGAGTAAAAGGCAAACAAAAAAATTAAATATTTATATTTATAAAAAATTCTAAATATGCAGGCTTACCTATAGTAATAAAAAACAGATCAATAGTGGTTGCCTGGGGAAGTATGGAAGGAATGGATTTACAAAGAGGCATGTTTCTTAAGGCATGATAGTTATGATTCAATATGGACATATTGATTACAGTGATGGTTTCATTAGTGCATACATACATCAAAACTTATCTAATTGTAAATTTAAATGTACTCAATTTAAAGCTCAATAGAACTCAATTAAACCTCAACAGAACTCATTTTAAAAGCACAAAGTATTGAGCTGGGCATGGAGATGCATGCCAGTAATCCCAGTGACAAGGGAGGCTGAGGCAGGAGGATTGCAAGTTCAAAACCAGCCTCAACAATTTAGTAAGACCTTTAGCAAATAAGATTCATCTCAAAATAAAAAAAGAAAATGGACTAGGGATGTGATTTAGCGGTAAAGCATCCCTGGCTTAATCCGTGGTATCAAAAAAGCACAACATATTGGCAGTACAATTCTTGTAATGGCATAATATGTACAGTGAATATATATTTACTTTTGTTTTTCTTGCCAACTAACAGAGTAGTTATAAAAGACTACATAGCCAATGAGAAATTGATTAAAAAAAACCCCACCTTTTAGCTTCAGGGAACCAGATAAAAACTTAAATCAAATAGATTTTGGTCTATTTCTTAAAAATGAATGCATGTGACTCCTTGACAAAGGCACTCTCTTGTTCAGTCCAGCTCAATGAATCCTGAGAACTTCCACAGTCTCTTAATAGCTCAGAAGCACAGTAGTCAGATATGCATCTGCAATACTATATGCTCAATATTTTCAGGATAAAGCATAATAGTTTACAAAAGCTTAGATGAGGCATGAGGCACAGAAGGGTTTCTCATCTAAGACAAAGGCTAAGCTCTAATATTTTGGACATCAAAATTGATATGATTCAATGGCTCCTTTAGAAGGTAGAGATAGGTATTTCCTGTTGTTTCATGCTGCTCTAATTTGAGACAGAATTAATTTATGATAAATAATTATTATCTGAGGTCATACTTAAAACACACACAACTATGAATGATACTAAGTACTATAAATGCACATTCAAACACTTGCAGGTGTAGTATGCTGGGGATCTGAGCAGATTCTGTAATTCTAAACGTATCCTTTGTATCACACTGAAGAGTTCAATCACAGTGCTTCTTACATTCATAAGAAATATTTTTTTTCTTTCTTGAAAGAAAGGAAATAGAAGGTATTGAACAGAAGATATTTCACTTGAAATAATTTGTGGATTTTGTAATTCATCTGAATAAAGTTCCTCAATGTCTAATTTTGTATTACCTAAAATTGGAACTCATGGATTTTTGATAATTTATTTTTCACAGAAAAGGATAGTATTACTCCTATATTTGGCTCACTAGTATACTCAATGATCATATTAATTGAAAATTCCCTACTTATGTAAGTCTCTTACATAATTGTATTGGTACACAAAATCAGTAAATTTCACAATTAACAATTTCTAAAATATTTTACTCTTTCAACAATATACACAAACTTCAATTGATAGAATTTCAATGTATAAGTCACATAAGAAGCATTTCAAGTTATTTCTTCACTACTGACAACACCTATCAAAATGCATCCTTTGATCCAGCCACTTCATTTCTAAGGATATATTGTATGTGTACAGTATGTTCTATTAATAAAACACCCATTACATTACTGTTTCTTATACAAAAGATTAGAATGGACTTTGCATGGTAGGGCTTGGCCTGTAATCCCAGTGACCTGGGAGGCTGAGACAGGAGAATTGCAAGTTCAAATCCAGTCTCAGCAACTCAGTGAGGGCCTAAGTGAGACCCTGTCTGTAAATAAAATTCAACCCCCAGTACCTCCCCCTGCAAAAAATTGGAATGTCCATTAAAATGAAGACTAGCTTAACTTGTGATATAATAGGCTATAAGTTTAGTGTTATTAAGACAGCAATCTCAGGAAAGAGACTCCCAGAGTTCAAATCCTGATTTCTACCACTTATGAGCTGTGTTATACTGTTGGTCATTTAACCACCTTTTGCCTAATTTTAATCATTTGTTAAATGAGGATAAACAAATATTAACTATCTTAGAAAGTTGTTCAATGAGTAAATACAACTAAAGTATTAAGAAAAGTACCTGGATCAGGAATAAACTCTGAATAATAATCTCATTGTAATCACCATAATGATTATACATTAGTACAACTGAATACTTACCTATCATTAAAAAGCATGAGGAAGCTTTAACTGTATAAGTGTGGAAACATCTCCAAGATAATATTAAGTGAAAAAAGGAAGGTCCAAAATAATATGAATAGGTGCTACCACTTGTAACAAATATGTAACCGGGGGACAGGCTGAAGATTTGGGACAGTAAGAGAAAACAGAAATATCTAAATATATAATTTATATCACATTTGAACATGGATTATCCAACTTAAAAGTATTGTTGAATAATTCAATGAATGCTAAAACAATTGAGTCAAAAAACAAAACCATATATATATATATATATATATATATATATACCCAATTAACTAGGCAAATTAATGGCAAATATTAACATTGCTCTTAAATGTCAAGTTATTTAATCATTTTTCTTATACTATCATTCCTTTAATCATTATAACACTCAATGAAGAAAACTCTTTTTACCTTTATTTGAAAGGTGAGAAAAACGCAATACAGAAAGACAAAGTAATTATTGCAAAGCCACTCTACTAAGAAGCATAAACCCCAGATTTTTTTTTTAATATTTATTTTTTAGGTGTAGATGGACACAACACAATGCCTTTATTTTTTTTATGTGGTGCTGAGGATCGAACCCGGGTCCCGCCCATGCTAGCCGAGCACTCTACTGCTGAGCCACAATCCCAGCCCAGAAACCTCAAAATTTGAACCACACTCTCTGATGTCAGTACTAGAGCCCCTCCTATGTTGCCTCTTAACATACTCTGAAGTTACTTTTTCCCCCCCAAATAACCTAAGTGACTTCAAAACAAATTTGTAGAGTTCACAATAATGGACTATCATTATAATGATTCTGTCATTAGAGTAAATCAGTTTACAGAGTCTATACTTGTACAATATGCTCTATATCACCAAGGCAGAAAGTATTTCTGGAACACTTAATACCACACCAAAAACAAAATGTCAATTTGTAACTTTATCTGGTAATACCTATTATTTTCTAATACAGTATCCATGACACTTATTGGATATCCAAGAGTTATTACATACATAAAATTAAGGATAACTTATGGAGTAATTAGGATAATTTATTCACTTTTCTCTCAGACACCTAAGATAACACAACAACAATAAATATTTTAGGTATGAGTCATTTGGCCATTTCAAATGTATTTTTCCTTTTGTTAATTTCTTCTTTGCTCTATCTGGCCTTCTATTTCTTTTCTAAAATGTTAAAAGTTTTTTTTTTTTTTCCCCTAATTACTGAAACACTACATGTTCATTGTGAAAATAAAAACATGTAATAAAGAGCTGGGCATGGAGACGCACGCCTATAACAAGTTCAAAGCTGCCTCAGCAGATTATTGAAGCACTTAGCAACTCAGGGAGACCCTGTCTCTAAATAAAATATAAAACAGGGCTGGGAATGTGGCTCAGTGGTTAATCTCTAAATAAAATATAAAAAAGGGCTGGGGATGTGGCTCAGTAGTTAAGCATCCCTAGGTTCAATCCCTGGTACAAAAAAAACAAAACATGTAATAAAGAAAAATACAAGGAAGAAAGCAAAAATAACCGGAAATGCTCATTTACCCACTGAGATAACCACTGAATAATTTGATGATCATCCTTTCCTGCAATACACTGCATATGTAGGCATGTACAAACATGTATTTTTATATGCATGTGATGGCGGATACAGTACCTTTTCTTCCTCCCTTTCTTTCTCCTTCCTTTTCTGTATTTGCTTCTTCCAATGTCAACAACCTATATAAAAATACACAAAAGTCATGGTGTGTTTTCACATAGTTTTATAAAAATAAAATCTCACTATACACATTTCTTTATACTCAGCCTTTATCACATAAGAAACATGATAGAAATCCTTCCAAGTCAATATAGATTCAACTGCTATCATTGAATGACTTCACAATATTCCATAATGTGTCATAATTTACACAATTCCCCTATTAACAGGCATACCTCGGTTCATAGGTTTTTGCCACTACCAACATTCTGGCAATCAACATTCATGTAAACACTTGCTTAATTATTGGTGCTTTTATGTGTAAGGAAAAGATTCCATGGAGGGAGGCTGACTAATGGAAAAACATGTATTTTCAAGACTAACAGACATCATCTGACCATTTACTAAAAATAAAAACCTATAGTAATTCACATTTCCACTAGCATTTTGTGAGAAAAATTCTTCCTTGTACATCCTTATTAGCAGATTTATCACTCTCTTAATTTTTGCTAGTCAGAGATRTAGTATTTCATTGATAATATATTGATCACTAGTAAGGTTACTTTTCATGCTATAGATTTTTCTTCTCATTAACTTCTGGTCACATGCTTTATTTATGTTTGTGTCAGGTGAACTTCTTAATTTATAAGAGTTCTTTAAAATGTTAACTCTTTTTATAAGTACTTTAAACTTTTGTCCTTATCACCACTGAAGAAGTCTTTATTTCTATATAGGCTCACATGTCTATTTTTCCTTTATAATTTTTACATTTCCTGCCTTAGCTTAGACTGCATTTGCAAAAAATTGAGAAGATTAATATTTTAAGTATTTATCTCTTACATTTCAGTCTTCAATCAATCTGAAATAGGTTTTTGTATGTTGCAAAACACTGGCTCCATTATATTTTTCTCCAAATGGACCAACTGAATTAGTTATAGTTATCATATACATGTGCCTATTTTCCCTACTGGAATTTGTTTTATTATGTAGCAAATCCCTATATATACTAGCATTAGCTTCTACTTTTTAAAATTCTGCTGAACTTACATATTTTAGCCTAATAATACATCTATACATATAAGATGAAATAATTCAATGTTTTAATTTTCCATTTTCCATATCGAGCAAAAATTGTTTAAAATGTTTATTGATTATAAGAAACCAAATATATAGATGTATAGTAATAAATTTTGAATCTTTCTTTAATGTTCTAGAGATCCTTATTTTTTTTTKATGCATTTCCTACCAAATTTTTTCATTCTGTATATATAGTCACTACTATATACATGCCCTTTCTTCAATTTTACAGGTATTTCCCAATCTAGCCTTCTCTATTTTGTTTTTGTTTGTCTATCGGCCGTGCATGCACATGCGTTATGTGCTTGTGTGTGTGTTGCTGAGGATCAAACTCAGGGCCTCATCCATGTTAGGCATGCATTCTAATACTAAGCAACACCTCAACCCTTTTTATACGTTTTATTTTGAGAAAGGATCTTGCTATATAGCCTTGAACTCACAATCTTTCTACTTCAGCTTCCTATATATCTGGGATAATGGGCATGTGCCATCATGCCTTGCCTCTATTTTGCCTTTAAACGAACATTTAAAAAAATTTAAGAAATAATCAGAATAAAACATAAAGTCTGGCTGTTTTTCATTGCTTAAGTACATCTGGAACTCTTGTGTGTCATATCATTCACCATTTACCTTATTTTCAATAAAAAGATTCATCATCAAAAGAACAATAAATTTCTACAGGTAGAATTAAGATTTAAAAATGAAAAATTTTGGTTAGTTATAATAACAATACCAAAAATAATGGTGACAAAAAATCACAGGCTGTAAGAATGAAAAAAAAAAAAAAACAGGATATAAGAATTCAAATCTGAAAATACATAAATTTTTAAAGAAGGCTATTCACAACTGTGAAATGTAATAGAACTAACTACACAGCAATGGACAGGAAGGGGTATCTCACATACATCATTACATAATTTTATTCATGGTAACAACTAATTTTAAGATAGTTTTAATAATTTCCAGTGAAAAGAAAGACCTGGTACTATGAAGATAAAAATCCATTTCAGCTGCATCTGTATAGACACAAACTTTATATATTTATATAATATGTACAATATTGTATAGTATATGTACATATATATGTACATATATAACACTACTTAGAAAATAATTATATAACCCAAAGATTTTTTTCATTTCATAATAGGAAAAAAACAGAATAGTTAAACTTTAAAATTCTCTACAGAAATTAAATGGAATAATTCTTATTAGTCACTATTTATAATAAACAATGAATATATGTATAAATTAAAAATGAATGTATGCATTCATTATATTTTAAGTTTAAGAACAGAGAACTGAAGTTAAAGAAAATATTTAATCTTTTAATAAAATCTTTCCTTAGAATGAAGGAGCAATATTTTTTACGATTAAAATGAAATATAAGGGGCTGAGGATGTGGCTCAAGTGGTAGCGCGCTCGCCTGGCGTGCGTGCGGCCCGGGTTCGATCCTCAGCACCACATACAAAAAAACAAAGATGTTGTGTCCGCTGAGAACTAAAATAAATAAATATTTAAAAAAAAATAAAATGAAATATAAGCTCACAGAAGCTATACTTTAACTACGGTTTAACTTACTGATATTTACCATTGCAAAACTATTAATCCTGTGAGTATTAATTTAGGAAAGGAAAACTATTATCTAGTTCATGTCTCCTCGGTTCCTTATATTTCTTTGTCAATTTCATGAAGATAAAAATAAGATATAAAAWAACACCACTCTACAGCTTGTACAATATATTTCTATTATTCATTGTGGACAAGAAAATTAGAAATAGAAGAACTTCCTCCTTAAATTGATTCCACACATTAATTACCACATGCTTTGGAAAATCTTCGTGCAGAAAATACTAAATCACTACAATTGATAAAATACAGGACTTTTTTGCTGATATTTCTCAGCTCCTATTAAATCTTTGTTAGAAGCTGGGTACGGTGGTGTGCACCTGTAGTCCCAGCTATTTTCGAGTCTGAGACAGGAAGATCATTTGAGCTCAGGAGTTCAAGGTAGCCTGGGCAACACAGTGAAGTGAGATCCTCATCTCATAAGAAAAAGAGAAAGAAAGAAAAGAAACGAAACTTTGCTAGACATATATTTTTTCTGCTTTGTTTTTTCCTTAATAGCCTCATTTCATATTCTACTTCCTTCACCATATCTAACCTGGTGCTCAAAAATGGGTGTTAGTCAAGTTTTGTAGGATTATAGTCTCTTTTAGGAATTCAGTTACGTAAAATCAAAGTAGATGTCAGTAAAGTTAATGATAAAAAAAACTTTACAAGTGTGTACTAAACACTGTACACTCATCTAAATTTAACGGCACCTATGGGATAGATTTAAACTTGAGGAAACAATCTTGCTTAAGTGCCCAAGGTCATTCAGCTATTACGAGTTGGGGTGAGACTCAAAACCCAGGCTTCAGTTTGGGAAATCGAAATGTAAAGACAGTGGTGCTGAGGGTTGAACCCAGTGCTTCACACATGCAGGCACCCTACCACAGAGCTACAGCCCCAGCCTCACCACTTTAGTTTTTTTTTTKTKTKTGTGGTGGTCGGGATTGAATCTAGGGCCTTATGCATGCAAGGCAAGCATTCTGCCAACTGAGCTATATCCCCAGACCAACCACCATTTATTTCTAAAAATACTTTCTAAGAGATTATCTAGAATCATCTTATTCTAACTCACAGCTTTATATACCCTCATTATCAAACCCGAAACCAGCACTCCCAACAAAGGCATGTAGCATAGAACTAAGCTGGCACAGCTGAATGAAGATCCTCTGTTTTAGTCTATTGYGACTTCACTTGTAGATAATAGAGTTAACTTTTCATTTAAAATAACTTACTCCTACCACTTCCCTCCCATATCTGGATGATAGCCATATCTATTATTAAATATACATACTGTGAACCTAAGTTGGTCACTGCACTAATGAAGTCCATATGAAGTTTGTTTCTATTCTATTGATCATGATTTGGAAAACTATTATTACTGACTTATATTTAAAAGCCAATACCTTATATTTAAAAATATAAAACTTATATTTAAAAGTGTACGAACTTAGAAGGAGTTATGATCTCCAAAAGTTAAAATAGTTTAATCTCTTTGTCTAATTGTTCAACATTCACTCAATCAACAATTTAATGAGTACCTCTCAGGTACTTCTGAATTCTTGTGCAGAAGAAACAACAATAAAGACATAGTCCTTGAACTCCTAGGAGCTTTATGACTTAAGGAGGAACAGTCCAATTAACAGCAATATGCCAGAAATAAAAACAGAAAAACATTGTGTAGTAGTCCACAGGACTGTAAGATTATGTCTGCCCATAGGGGAAGGAAACATTCTTAGTGGTTATAACAATCTATGAAGGCAGTGAAAATGAGAATGACCTCATAGTAAGAAAACAAGAGTTATCAGGGGCCCTAACACAAAAATCTTTATGTATTGTTTTATAATGGATTATAACACAATTTCCCAATAAATGTTAAAATTTCTACATGTAACACTCACAAATTGATAGTCTATAAAATGCCTTCCAAACTTCAAATCATGTGTGTGTGTTTTGTGTGTGTGTGTGTGTGTGTGTACCTATACAACAATTTAGTCACCAATTCCTGCTGCTAATTTTCCAAATTTCATCAGTGGTCTGAGTTCTTTCTTTCATAAGTTCCCTAAAATTGGAAGAACTGTGAAATAAAACTGCAGACTCATTCAACCTCTTTCATATTGGTATTTTCCTCTCTTGTAGTGAACTTGCTTTTTAACTGTGTTTTTTTTTTTTTTTTTTTTCTTGCCTATTCTGGTGTACCTGGACAGAACAGGTTTTGATTTCCAGAGCACTTAAAGAATTCTCCTTATTGGTGTGATGTCATCTGGGCAAGGAAGCAACACTATTTTTTTTCTCTCCTCTAAAGATCAGGGAACCTCACTCTGGAGAAATGAAATGAACAAAAATATACTCACATCTGTAATAGTCATGGCTATATAAATATATCAATCGTTAGTGCTATTGTCCAGAATAGGTCATAAGTACAATGTGCGAAAATTCGAAATCCAYAAAAAAGACAACAGTGATCTTTATTACTTGGGTAAAAATCAAGAATCATTAAGGTTGTGTTTTCTAGTAAGAAACATCAATAGGCCAGTTTTTCCATTTTGCCATCATTTAATAAGRTTTAACTTTGAGCTTTCCTTAACAAAACAAGTTCAATTTGGAAGATACAGAAAAACAAAAATAAGTCAGCACATTCACAACTCAAAAGATAATGATTCCATCTTCCTCATTTTTCAAGACTTTTAAAGAGATTCTTCAATTACACTGGTTAGAAAACTATAAGACTTAACTCAGAATGTGATTTTTCATATTAGGTGTAATTCAAACTTCAAAAATCATATTTGTAATTTTTGGTAGGGACTTTCAATTTAAAAGAAACAAGAACTTTCTGAGTTTACAATACAAATAAAAAAGTTTAACCCCAAACTGGAACACATTCTTTCCTAAAGTACATTATTTAGGGTAAAAACATTGGCTGTTGCATTATATATTAAATGGAGAAGCACTGGGTAGTCAAAAACCTAGGCAAAACAATTTCTGTATTTTCACAAAATACTATTCACCACTGGGAAAAACTAAGGAGAAACACAAGCTTTATTTAATTCAAATTTACCACAAAGTTGGTCAAGGTATTGATTGGGAGTGTCATTAAGTAGATTTTAAGGAGGAAAGGCAAAAAGAATGCCAAAGGCAGAAAATAGCCAGCAGTATCTTTACTTAATCTTCTTGTCTTTTAAGTTATGGTCAAATAAATTTGGTTTAATTATACGCCCAGCCCAATCAGTTTCCAAAGAATTACTTCCCTTTCAGGAAAACCTAGTCACTTTCCCATAAGCTAGCCTGGGCCTACTGCAGACCAAGACACAGCAACACCATCTTTCAAAGACTCTCCATTCAATCGAGAATGTCGCATTACCAACACCCTTGTTTTGAAGACAGTGTATCTTTATTCCTTCAACTATCCACCCTCTCGAAGAAGAAAAAGTTGTAAGTTCTGCTTTTACCCTTCCATTCCCACCCAAAGGAGATGGACATCCACAGAACCTCTCCTGCAAGGATGTCAGATAAAACCCTTAGAATTACTGAGAAAGCACATTCGAAAGGAAGCTTTTCAGTGACTGCAGTGAGGGCCATATCAGTGACATTCCCTCCCAAGCCTGTTTCACCGCAGACGTCTCCAGGGTTTTTCCTGTCTTCCTGCTCACCCGGGTGAGGGCGTTTGCCAAAGAATAGGCTTTGGGGAATGGGGAGTGGGGGCTGGCGGCTGTTGCAGACCCTGAGGAAAGATTGAAGCAATCCTACTACCTGTAGCATCAAAGATTCCAAATAGGGAACCATAATGGCCGCACTCACTCTCAACCCCGGAAAAGGTGGACACCTCAAATCACAGGTAGCCGGACAATCACATTGAGGGGTGGGGGGTGGGGGGTCGGGTCAAGAGATGTGGAGAAATAAGCTCCTTGCCAGTGCACGGTGACAGCGGGGAGGAAACCCCAAGCAGTGGAGGCCACTCTTTACAGTCTCCCTTGTCTTCTCCCACTCCCTTCTACAATCCCCACCAGTCGCCAGTTACCGGTCGCAGCTCACCTGCTGTGGCGCGAGGTGCAGAAACTCTACCGACCACAGATCCAGAGGCTCTGTCACTGCGGGAGGGGATGTCTTCAGCTGCAAGGGGGCGGGGCGGGTCTAGTCAGTCACGTGACCTCGAGCTCCGCCCTGCATCCTCCCCATCCTAGAGCGCTGCATCCCACGAGCTGGGATCTGCAGATCGCTTGAATATTTTTTGTTGTTGTTGTTTTGCGTCTAAAGAAAAATTGAGCATATATTTTTACAAAGATTGTGATGTAAGGTGCAATTCAGAAGGCGAGGATGACAAGGGTTAAAGTGCATTGCTAAGGAAGTGACGTTCAAGCCACAAGCCAGGGACCGGAAATGGCGATGGAGTTCCGTCCCTCTGAGGCCCGCCGGTAAAATCCCAGGCTGTAAGGTTTGGGCCATCACGTGATTTCAAAATTTGAGCTGTGCTGGAGAGTAGCCAAGTTACCCGGCCAGTTGTTGACTGTGTTTGTTTTAAAAGCACCTCATTTAGTTGAGTTTTCTAGGACTTCCTTAAGAAACAGCTTTATAAAGCCTTATTAGGATACGAGTGTTTGAAGGTCACTCTGGATACTACCAGCTGGGAAAAACGGGTCGGGAAGGGTTTATCTTGCTGAGGTGGGAGAGAAAAAGGAGGGGCAGAAAAATCCGGATTTTACCGCCAGGGCCTACCAAGCTAGCTCCACCAGTAGTGTCGTAAGAGATGGGAGGAGGAGCATAACGCCCGGAGGCAAAGCCCAGGAAAAAGATGGAGGTCTCGAAGTGGGGGTGGGGGAGAGGGAACGTAGAGGCTAGCAGTGCGGCTGCGCGAGAGGCGGTGGACGCGCCGGCGCGCAGAGGGGGCGGGGTTAAAGGTCACTGCGCGGCGGCGGGTCTGGCTGGCGGCGGCGGCGGGCGGGAGCTGAGTGCCCTGAGTGCACGTGTGAAGAAGCGGCGGCACCAGCGCGGCTGCTGGAGACACCCCCGCCCCCTTCGAAGACTCAGGGCCGCCCTCGACTTTCCCGGCCTCCGTCACCCCTTTAGCTCTGTGCCCTAGGCGAGGAGGCCGGCTTGTGGGGTTGAGTGGCCCGAGCTGAGGGCGCCGAGAGCTCGGGGCGGCGAGGACGACGGCGTTGATAGCGGTGGTAACGACGGCCTCAGCAGGCGGGGAAGATGAAAGGGTGAGGAAGGGCAGCCTCCTAGGGCCCGGCGGGCAGGGTATTGGGGCCCGGGCCCGTGTAGGGGGAGTGTTGCGAAGAAGGGGAGAAACTAAGGGCGAAGACCTGGCGAAGGGAGATTTCCAGGCTTCTCTCTTCCCTCTGTTCCTAGAGGAGGCGGAGGCGACCAAGGCTGTTGGCGGGCTGAAGGGCTAGCGGTGGCAAGAGTGGTGAACCTAGGATTTTGTCCGGAGGACAAGTGTGGCTGAGTAGGGGCAAGAAGGAAAAACTATTGTGAGGCGCCTGGGGCCTCTTACCCCGGAGCGGACGCCTGAGCCACCTCCGGCCCATTTCTGGTGCAGTGGTCAGGTTGTCCTCTTATCTAGATCCATGCTTAACAACTGGAACTACAGTCTTTGACACCTTTCCGTTTCATTTGCATTTGGGKTCCGTGCAGAACCTTCTGGCGGGAGAAGGAATTGGAATAAAGAGCATGGGCATGAGTATTAAGAGCTAGTGACTCAACTAGATTTGGGTTGGGTCAGAGGGAGTGGAGGAGGGGGAATGAGCTCAAACAGTGTAGACTTGGGGTGCCAAAATGTTTAAGGAAGTATTGTGAATCAATAGGTGGAGCTATTGCTTCAGCAGTTGGTAATTGCCCCCTAAGTGCTTCTGAGGTTACTATGCTTTCTTCGGCATGGTTGACAAAGTTAAGATTCGATTTTTTTTTCTCTCGAATAAAATTAGGGATTATTTTGATTTAACTGTTTCCGTTTGCATAATATGTCTTCTTGCCATTAAATTATATACTGTTACAGTATTAGTTACATTATAGAATTGCTTAAATGAGTATTTGGGAGCTTGCCTTTAGAATCCTCAGAGGAAGAAACAGAACCTTGTAAAAGCTTTCTCAGACGCCTGAAAAAAATTTTTTTTCTTACTATCGTAAATCGGTTGAAGGATTATAATTATGCTTTAAGTTACTTAAACTATTCAAACTATTCAGCAGCTCTTTTGAAGATGAAGTAAGTCACTTTTTGGAGTAACTTCATACTGCCTAAAATTAAGGTTTAAATGTTATCTCTATGTTTGAAGTGTAGAAGAGATTCCAAGGAAGTTTATTCATTTGGTTTTAGGTCTGTAGCATGTTTTCTTACTCTGATTTGATTTAAATACTGGAGATCCATTTCATTGTTGAATTGTATGTCTTGAAAGTATTTTTCCCAATTGGGTCGTGATCCAGGAAGTTGGGGCTATTTTACTTTGATTCAGCATATTTGGGGAGTCTCTTTTTTTTGTTTGTTTGTTTTCTGATAGACAGTACTTGAGTGTAGATGCTGTGCTCTTAACTCATTTTTTTTTGGTATTTTTTTCCATATGTTCAATACATATTCATTGTGTTTTCTTAAAGTAATAATGAGGCTGAAGAGTTCCCAGTTTTGAAACTGTGCCAAGTATCCAAGAAATTGTTCTGGATGTTTTGATCCAAAACCTTTAATCTAGCTCATTCTCCATAGGGTGTAATGTCTTTCTGGTAATTCTCTTGGAAATAGAAATGGGGCCAGTTTCTACTTTGAATTAATACACTCATGAAGCAATATACTCTTTATTATACTCTTTTTATTTTAAATGGACATTTAAGTGTGATGTGATGGAGGCAGATCTCTAGAAATGATGTCGGTGTTAGAGAAAAGTTATTGAATCTGTAATTTATGCCAGCAACCATGCATTAAGAGTCCTTAAGCACAGTTCTTATTGCTTATGATTGGGAGCTTAGAATCATGTTCTTTTTTTTTTTTAAAGAGAGAGAGGAGAGAGAGAGAATTTTTAATATTTATTTTTTAGTTCTCGGCGGACACAACAACTTTGTTGGTATGTGGTGCTGAGGATCGAACCCGGGCCGCAGGCATGCCAGGCGAGCGCGCTACCGCTTGAGCCACATCCCCAGCCCCTAGAATCATGTTCTTGAATGAAAAATTTTAAGATGATTTCACTCACTCCCAGGAAGTTGGGACTTGGAAAAAAGTTGTTGCTTCTTAGTATATAATTAAGGTGCTGAAGAAATGAAGTTAAGATATACTGTATTCTTTAGAAGATGTTGAAGTCCTTGAGTTTCAGAACTTGTATCACTATGTGCAATGTAGTCAGTTTTTTAACTCTTGATTTTGAAAGGCCTATGGGAAATAGTGGTCTTGATTATGTGGTTTTTGTATGAAACTTAATTTGCTACATATTTTATTGTATATTGATCTAACAAGACAGTAAGTTAAATAGAAATATCTAGAAATGGGAAACTGTAGGACTCCCAACTCCATATCAATGTGCGTCGTTACCTATGTTGCCTGTTGTTTAAGTTTTTAAACTTATTTTCTGATTTTACTTCCTATTTTTACTGTTAGTATTCTGTTGTATTGGCATATATTTGTATGATTTTGTGGGGGGATTCTATTGGGGATTGAATCCAGTGGTGCTTGTTCTCATGTTTACCACTGAGCTACATCCCTGTTCCAGGCCCACCCCCTCCCCCTTTATTTTAAAGACAAGGTCTTCCTAAGTTGCCCAGGCTGACCTTGAACTTGAGATCCTCCTGTGAGTTGCTGGGATTACAAATGTGGACCACTGTGCCTAACATAAACTGGTTATTTTTGATCTCTTTGTTATTCCTCACTAGGGAAGATGATAGTCAAGCAAGAAATACGCTGTAGATAGCTGTGACTGGGGCCGCAATGTAATTGGTCATTAATGTAATAGAAAATAAAGCTAAAAAATAACTATTTTGAATAAAATTAAAATATAAGATTCTTTAGCCAGAGATGAAACTGTGTTGGAGAATTTAGAGTAACTGTTACCACTGATAGTGTATGGACTAGGAAAGGGCACAGGGAGTTTTCTGGGGTGCTGGAAATATTCTCTTTATCTGGATATTGGTTACATAGGATGTGTATATACATGCATGCATGCATACATACGTGTGTGTGTGTGTGTGTTGTGTGTGAAAAATCATTGGGCCATAAACACAATTAGTGATCTTTGCCATGTGTCAATAAGATTATATTGCTCTTTTGTCAGGGGGGGGAAAAAGCCAGTCAGGCTGAAGTAGCATTTGATAACTTTATAAACCTGCAATTCTTACTCTTGCTACTGTGAAATCAATAATTTGTTGTTTGTTGGTTGAGAGATTGAATTTTAACAAATACTTTACTTTTTAATGTTCCCTTTGCTGTATTGAGATACATTCATATAAAAATGACTTTAAAATAACTTTTTAAAAAATCTGTAATGTGCTAACCTGGTGTAAAAGAAATACAGAGAATTAAAATCTGTTTTAGTCTAGTAATCAGGTACGACTATGCTATAAATAATAGGAAAGTCAGTTGCTTACATCTGTGAATGGAATCATTGTATAATAGGAAGTATGCCTCCTGTCTATACAGTTGTGTGCACAGGTGACTAATCCTGTGTTGCCCTCAGTAGTATGATTTTTTTCTATCAATTAATTCAGTCCCTAACTCAATAGCAAAATATTAGTCCATTATAGTTGCAGCTGAAACAGTTGGCAATTGAGCTGCTGAAATGTGCCTTTTGAGGCTGAGTAACTGAGTTTTTAAAGTTTAATTAAAAATTTAAAAATTCAGTTATTGGACAATTTTTAAGAATGCTTGACACACCTTGTATATGTAGATCTAATCTAGATTTCATGAAATGTAAATATATATGAATGGTTTCCCAGCAAAATTAACATCTGAATTGAGGTATGCTACAAAAACTTATTGTGGAAAAGGGTTTTTAAAAAAGATGAATTATTAATGTTTTGTTTTTATTATATGTTGAAATTATTTCTCCTGTTTGGCTTGTTAATATAGGTTCCAGAAAATTTTAAATTATGTATGTAACTAAAATTATGTTTCTTTTGGACATTGCTGTGCTAGACCCTTAAAACCAAAGTTGTGAGCTGTTACATACACCTGTAATCCCAGAGATTCTGAAAGCTTAGGCAGGAAGATGGCAAATTCCAGGTCAACCTCCGCAACTTGGCAAGACCCTTTTTCAAAATTAAATATAAAAAGGACTGGGGATGTAGTTCAGCAGTAAAGCACCCCTGCATTCAATTCCTAGTACCAAAAATAAACAAACAAACAAACCAAAGTTATGTAAAACATGATCTCTTCCCTTAGAATATAGTTCCCAGATGATAGACATGTCTAAATGTTTCAAGTTGTGGGCCAACAGTTGATTTGTGGCTATTTATACTCTGGGAAAGGATTCTGATGCCACTCCTAGTTTTTGTTTAAAGTCTTGTGTTCCAGTCATCTTTCCTGAGCTAGTGCAACCTCTGTTCTGCCTGTTATTATTGAAGTTGTTCTTCAGGGAGAACCTTGTTTTTCAAGTCCTGAGGCTTCTTGTCTTATTCCCCTAAGTGCTGTAGTGGACGCTTGTTCATAAAACTACTTGACAAACATCCTTAATTATTTCTTTTGGATAATTCCCTAGGAATAAAATTTTTGGATCAAAAAATACATTTTTTTAAAGCTCTGATACAGTTGCCCTCCTAAAGTAGCAGTTTATACTGTTAGCCCTATTATGAGAATGTCCTTTCTTTCTCCCAAGGTCAGATTCAGAAGGGAAAGGAAATTTGCAAAAAACTTAAGAAAATGGATGAAAACGTTGGCTACCATTTCAACCAAGAGTTTTATAAATTTTTGTTTCAATTGTGATATTGACTTTGATGTTGTAGATGGACACAATACCTTTATTTTAGTTATTTATTTTTATGTGGTGCTGAGGATCGAATCCAGGGCCTCACATGCTAGGCAAGCATTCTACCATTGAACCCCAGCCCACAAGTGTGTTTTGAGTACATATTCTTATAGCCTTAACTCTACTTTTACTTGGCTGATTAGGTGATAAATGGATAAATTTATTTATTTAATTTTGAAAATTTCATTACTTGGTGAAGTTGGGGTACTTTCTACTTTTACTGGTATTTATATATCTTTGTGACTTATTTGTTTATAAAACATCTTGTTTTTAATTGGGATACAGATTGCACAGACTTGAAATTACAAAACAGTCAAAGACACAGTAGAAAATGAGGTTGAGACATTCAGATTAGTACATTTTTGTTAAAGAGTGATGTCAGTTGACCCAGATAGCCTGAAGGAAAATTCTAAGGTATATTCGGATTTTTTTTCCCCTTCTAGTCTATGTAGTTCATTATATAAGGGAAACTTAACTGTAATACAAACATCATTTAACTAAAAGGCACCAAGTTTTGTTCTATTTTTTTTTWAAATTAATTTTTTAATTTATATGTGACTGTGGAATGCATTATAATTCTTATTACACATATAAAGCACAATTTTTCATGTCTCTGGTAGTATACAAAGTATATTCACATCAATTCGTGTCTTCATACATGTACTTTGGATAATAATGTCCATCACATTCCATCATCATTTCTAACTCCATGCCCCCTCCCTTCCCTTTCCACCTCTCTGCCCTATCTAGAGTGCCACCAAGTTTTATTTCAGTGTGCCACAAATGATAGCTAGAAGTAGGGTCATTATAATGAGACTCTTGATCTCTGGGTCTTGGTTTCATTCTTTAACAAGAAAGACTTGAACCTGAACAATGATGACCAAAGTTTCTAACTCAGGTGCAAGTTCTAATTTACTGTTAGTATTTAAGGTGTTGATAGCTTTGATGAGTTCTCAAACTACAGGAAAAGGTGCTGTTATTTGACACCTACCCATGACTGCTATGATATATGTCTGATGTTTAGCACTGACTTTCTATGATACCAAGAAATAAAGCCTTGGAGTCATATTTGAAGTGTACTCTTTAAACCACTTTCTCTTATTTGCTTTTGTGCCTGTTCTTGTCCTTTTCACTCATGACACTCTTTTTAACTGCTACCTGATATTCCTACTGGGCCAAGTAATGGATTCTCATTTAATCATTAAAATATCCCTGTACAGATGATGTGATATCTATAATCTTCTAGTTTAAAAAAAAAGGCAGAAAT